TTGCATTTTTATCAATAAACAACCAGATAGTATATATTTTCTGGCTGAGTTTCTTTGGAGAGCAAGATATGGACATTGCAGTTTGCAAACCTCTCATGCTGATGTGTATTTTTCCCTGAGCAAAGTTTTTCTGGGAGCACTGCTGTACTCTTCACAACAATTTTAGCAATAATCCTTAAACTTGCTGTGGAAAATGCATATTCTAATTGGAAGATGGTCATATTTACCAATATGAAGAGAAATGTAACACCACTGAACTATGAATGCGATTTGGAAGCATCTTCATGTTCAGTTCAGCACTTTTAATTTTACTTTCAACATAAATGTCAGATAACATGTAGATATATAATTACTGCTTTACAAAATAAATAGTGATAAGACTCAAAAACATTTGATTGGCTGATGTGCATTAGAGTTCTGTAGCACTTTGGATTCAAAGGCAAAAAGGTGTGAAACACACATAAAAGGTGTGGGACTTCAGTCATGGAGTCACAGCTACTATTTAGACTTTTTTGACAGCCCTCAACTCTCCTGTCTCCAACTCCTTAAACCAAGCAGCACTGTTCTGACATGATACTGGAAAAAAACACTGCTGCTTTAAGGAGTGCTACATGAATGCTCCAAATCACATTTTTATCTTTGAATCCAAAAGATTACACAGCCAGGAAATGCATGTCTTCTTCAAACTGGGAGACCGAGAGAAGTCCGACTCACTCCACTGTTAATGCATAGTGTCAAGTATATACAGCATTATTCCAGTTACTGTGGACGAGACTGGCCGTACAATAAGTTGGGTGTTTTCATCAGACCCAAAGAATATATAATTCAGCGTGGTGTACAAGCAATCAGAAGAAACCTCTGGATCAATGTAAAGTAAGTCAGCCCTTCATACCAGAATTGTTCTCCTCCATGGAAACCTTGCACATAATTTAATTATGAACAAGTCAGCTCAGCTAAGAAAATCTGTTGTTTGCTAGCGGAGATACACCATTCTAGGTCTCTGTCCCAAAAATATAATTAGCAATTATGCTCTACTTTTAGTGGGAAGAAGATTTTCAATCTGTAGATGGGAGGAAACAGTGCTGTTGATTTTTGTTTGGATTTGCCTTAATGAAGAGTGTCGGGGGGTTAAAAAATGTGGGGACCCTTGAGCTGCAGGTTATCCACTCCTGTTGTAAGAACATCTTACTGTACTGATCTGTTATGCTATCAGTATCAAAGAAAAAGTTGTTGTTGAAAACCTTCCCTTCTTCCTGATTTCCTTCTCATCACTGTACCTTTCAAGTAATATTGAGTTAATTGGTGGCCATACAGGCTGAGAGTGATGGGAGTTCTAGTCAACACATAGAGAGGACATATATTTGGGCAGGCTGGTTAAAAGCATATATATTCATTCATTCATTCATTCATTCATTCATTCATTCATTCATTCATTCCCTGAGTTATTTTATACTGGCAAATTTCCTTCTGGGTATTATACTGATGTATGTTTTGCAGGTTCTTATTCCTATGACTCACTGCAACTCTCATAAGGAAATCATCAGAGGGAACGTAAAAGTCCAAAATGCTGGAATTTACATACTTATTTTTGACAACACCTTTTCTAGGTTGGTGCATCTGATAGCAGAGAGTATTGTTTATAGTTGTGAGAAACAGGAGATTTTAGGAATTATTGCTTACTTCATTCTGAGTGTGGAGTGAATACAGAAATTGTGTTCCTCTAAAACCTTGTAGAAAGAAAAAGGATTACTTTGTTGTTTTAAATATTAAAATATTTTTCTCTCTTAGGCTGCAGTCTTAATTGTTTTATATTTTTGAAACTGTTGTTCATGTTTTAATTGCTCCTCTTCAGTCTTAATATGTTGTTTGATTTGGCTTCTCCTTACTGTTTTGTATCTTATGACATTCTATCGAATGAGGCAATTTTGCCATAAAGGATAGAAATAACTAACCGTCCACTGTGTGGCTAGGATCCCACTAACCCAGTTCAGAGGAAGAGAACTGCACTTAAGAACAGTATGATTATTTAGTTCCAATTGCACATTTTGTTTCTCCTAGATGACTTTACTTTTACAATTTCAGTTTGACTAATTTTCTTATGTTGTCTTTATCTCAGGTTTATCTCAAAAAAAATTTTTTCCCACTTCTCTGTTCAATGGCCAGTGGTTTATGATAGAAGCGATTTTTCATAGTTTTTCCTGTATGAAATACCTTGCAAGAAACACTATTATTTTTATGTGTGTGTATATGTTTTTGCCTGTGTGTGTGCAGGGGCTATCATTTTACGGTATTTCAGATCAATCCTGTATCTTTCCCAGCTTCACTGTGAATAATGATTTATCTTTTGTTTTGAAGAGTTAGGAATTCCTGACTCAGTTTTACATTCCATAGTTTCTCTTTGCTCTCCAGACTAAAATCATTTATCATAAAGTTGTGTGGGTATTTTCAGATCAGGATTTTATTTGTAACTGATTGCCTCAAGAATGAAGTAGTTAATGGGCAGATGGTCCAAACAGTAACATTATCTATCATTTCTAACAGTCACATCTTTTCCCATTCCAGCTTCTGTCATTTTTACCATACACCCACACACATATAATCCATTGAGGAAAGCAAGAGTAGCTGCAGAGTTAAATTTTGATTAGTAGCACTAGGAAACCTGTGTGAAAAGATGCTAAACTTTCTCCAGCAACAGACTGTAGCAAAGTAATTGTGAGAGGAAAAATAACCAAAGTAAATGAAATGAAAAACAAATTAGAAGCGAATTAAAAAAATCTTCACTCATTTGTGTTTAGGGGTTCTTCTCGCTTGAATGAACGCATGGTGTACATCGGTGTTAAGAAATATTCTTAATAGTTTCTTAAGTTGAAACTATTGAATCTTGACCCAGCGATTTCAATCGGTCCTTTCAAAGTATGACTAAGTCCTTTTGTTTCTACGAATCTTCTTTAACAAAGGAAGAGGCTGCTTTGAAATCCGTGATCTGCCCCACGGGCCGCTGCTTTCAAAAAGCTCTTTACCGACCTTCTCGCGCACGGGACCACCAAGACTTCACTTCCGCCCATGCGAACACTCGCTCAGCCAATGATATTATAAAGAAGGCGCTCGCGAGGCTTTCGTTTCTTCACCATAGCAACCACGGTCTGGTAAATCGTCGCGTCTTCTTCGTTGTAGGCCACCGCCGGTTCGTCATGGTGAGCAACCGACGCTTCTGCTGCTTTTCAGCCGTCCCTTTAGTATTCTGACATACTGTTGCTTCACTTTCCCGAGAGAAGTGGAATTTGGAATTTGGGATTATTCGCGCAAAACGTGAATAATAATAAAGGCGCTTCCCCCCTTTCCCCGAACGTGGCGTTCCCCCCCTTCCCCTTTCCCCTGATCCCTCTCTTACTCCAAATTGTGAGATTCTTACATTAGAAATTAAGATCATGTGAGACGAAAACTCCCGTGACTCACGACTGTTACCATGGATAGGGGTACCAGTTTTTGGCTGCAAAAATCCGGACTACCACTAGATGGCAGCAAAGAGATTCAGAAACCATATGCTGTTTCTAACATCTAGTGATCGTCCGGATCTGCAGTCGTGATCTGGAAGCTTTTCCTTACGCGGAATTCACATTACACATATCTTCTCTCTGATATAGGATCTTATCTGGCAGCATTTGATCACGCCTCCCCCTCCCCAAATTTATGGGTAGTTCACTATCAAGTCTCTTGCAGTGCCATTCTTAATATATCGATTTATGCTGGGCAAATCAGTGAGGGATAGCGGTGGTAAACATTCTGTGCAGCTTTCAATAGGAGTATCTCTTATTATGAATTCAGCAAGGCTTAATTTTAAATGAGTGCATATGGGATTGTTGGTGTCAAGTGAATCTGGGAATGAATGACTGATAATGAATTCCTACTTGATATTCTCTTTTTGGTTTTTTGCATATTTTTCTGTTCTTGTTTCTTTTCTGAAGCTTGTTGTAACATTTATTTATTCGATTTATATAGCATTATTAACAGTGGCTGCAAGTTTTGATTTGTAAATCTGGACAACGTAATCCTATAACTGCACACAGTGATTTAGAAAATTGGTGTATAAATATATAAAATAATACTTTACTAATAAACAATAATTATGAATGTATATATTTTCAGAAACTTCTCTATAAATCTTTTCTTTAGATATGAGAAGTAGCTTAAGTACCCTTCAAATTAAACATACATATAATATCTTTAAATATGACAGAAAATCCATGTTATGGATCTTTATATCAGTATTGTTTACTTTATATACAGGCAGAGCTGGGTCTAAATGATCACCATCAGAATGAAGTGATCAACTATATGCGACTTGCACGTTCTAAACGTGGTCTGCGCCTCAAGACAGTAGACTCTTGTTTTCAGGACCTTAAGGAAAGCAGGTAATATGAGAATGGGAAAAATATATAAATTAACTCAGAGGCCTATTTTAGCAATGATCCTTAAATTTACTGTGGAAAATGCGTATTCTAAAGGGGGATGAGCATATTTACCAATATGAAGAGAAATGTAACACTACTGCAACTGTGAATGAGATTTGGAAGCATTCGCATATTCTGTTTATGACTTTTAATTTTATTTTGAACATTAATGTCAGATAACATGTAGATATATAAATACTGCTTTACAAAATAAATAGTGATAAGACTCAAAAACATTTGATTGGCTGATGTGCATTAGAGTTCTGTAGCACTTTGGATTCAAAGGCAAAAAGGTACTTTGGAGCACAATCAAGCATGCACATACTAGTCTGCAACCAGGGATGTGTGCATAGGGTGTCAAAATATTCAAGATGGCGGCTGTGGCTGTGTGACTGAAGCTCCACCCCCTTTTGTGCGTGTTGTGAAACACACACAAAAGGTGTGGGACTTCAGTCATGGAGTCATAGCCACTATTTAGACTTTTTTGACAGCCCTCAATTCCCCTGCCTGCAACGCTTTAAACCAAGCAGCACTGTTCTCACATGTTACCGGGAAAAGACACTGCTGCTTTAAGGAGTGCTACATGAATGCTCCAAATCACATTTTTGCCTTTGAATCCAAAAGACTACACAGCCAGGAAATGCATGTCTTCTTCAAACTGGGAGACTGAGAGAAGTCCGACTCACTCCACTGTTAATGCATATTCTCTTTCTATATTGCATTTGTCATTAGTCTCTTATATAATTAGTCCGGTATTGATTAATATCAGTGCTTAAATTAGAATTGACTCCTGACACCTCTCTTTTTAATAATAATGGGAGGCCAAATGCTGGCATATTTCTAAATTGATAGCCACCTTTACTATCAACCAACCCCTCTCTCTGCTTGTAGCTTCTCCTCCTTGTGTCAGAAAAAGTCTCCAGCTTGTTATTAACTATTAAATATTTATGTATCTCTCATATCTTTATATACATTGTTTTAAGACATTTTGAGAGCCTTTTTTTTTGCCTGAAAAATGGTTATAAACAAATATAATAAAGATATGAGAGATACATAGATATTTAATAGTTAATATCTAGAGACCTAAAAGTCTCTATGGAGACTTTTTCTGACACGAGGAGAAGGACATCATGCATATTGCAGAATTCAAATATGAAGGACAAGCATTGCACCTCTTATTAGTTAACTATAATCTGCAAATATTACTAGCTTGTTTCATAGGTAACTTCTTAAAACCAAAATGGGATTTTTAATTTTTTAAAAAAATTTCTAACCATTGTGAGGATTTAAACCACTTTGCCCTCTGTATATTTTGTGCACTCATGAATGTTTTTGCTTTCCATCATAGCCCCATCACTGTCTGAATAGCTACCCACAGAAATTCCCTCATGAAGCATGAGGAGCTATCACAGAAAGTTAAAACTTTTTGGTGGTATCACCCATATTCACACAAAAGCAATTGTCTTCCATGTGTGGATCAAAATTTTATTTAAATGCAGTTCCAATGGAAAAATATAACAATTGCAAGATGGGCAGGTATATAAATCAATGTAATAAATTAATAAATATAAAAGAAGTCAATTACTTATAATTTAAAAATAATGATATTCCTCATGGAATATAGGTTTTATACCACTATTTATTGATGAAATGAGTAATGCCTTCTGAGACAATGAATATGTGCTGTTGTTTTGCTAGCTGTGCTGGTACTTTGTTTAGAATAAATCTGAATTGAACTGGTGACATATCACATCTTGTCTATATGTAGTGGAATGGAATGCTCACAAGTTTTTTTTTTTAAATATTTTTGGGGTAGTTTCATAGTTTTTAAAATCATCCTATTTCTGGATTCTTCTCTTTAGGCTTGTGGAAGACACATTCACTATAGATGAAGTGACAGATATGTTGGATGGCTTACAGACTGTAGTGCACAGCGAGGTGGAATCAGAACTTATTAACTCAACTTACACCAATGTATTACTTTTACGGCAAATTTTTTCCCAGGCAGAGAAGTGGTATCTTAAATTGCAGACTGACTTTTCAGAACTGGAAAATAGGTGAGTACTTTAAAGAGAACTTCATAGATTATACCTACTATTATTACTATTACTGTTACTAATACATTTTCTTTCCTCATTCATAAAATTATTGACCCAGTACAGTTATTTAAGAAATGATAGCAGAGTCCTAAACTTGTTTATTTAAAAGCAGATCTAGTTTGCTCAATGAAGGTTCATCTCCTAAAAGTATGTTTTTAATTGTTGTCTTAGTCTCAAAGATAATTTTTCATTTGAGACTTCTCATTGGTTTTCCCTGTTTTACATTATAAAGAGATCGTCGAGTTAAGCTCAAATCCTAGTAACTGCATGTTTGCAGTTACCTTGTCACTGCTGGCAAAGTGGTATGCCACTGCCTTCTCCTAGGCCATTTTTTTACTTTCAAGTCTAGCTAACAGCCCTGGAATTCCCAGGTGCCCCCCATCCAAAATCTAGCCAGGTTGACCCCACTTAGCTTCTGAGATCAACCAAGGTTAGTGGACAGATACTGCCATCTCCTGAATGTAACTTAGTGTTCAATAGACTTCACTAAAATGTTTGTTGCTTTTTTTCAAGGGATTTATTAGAACAAGTTGCAGAGTTTGAAAAATCAGAATTTACATCTTCAAATAAGAAGGTATGCCTTTATTTCTAAAACAGTGGCCAAACTGTATGTGAAAAACAACTGTGGGTTTTATATTGCTATCATGGTTACATGTATGGGTTCTGAGGATTTTATAGAAATTCAGTGCAATACATCATTCTAATTTTATCTCCTTTTATTAAGAAGCACAGGAACATGAGTAAGAACCATTTAAGTTTCTTAAAGCATGTCTAAGTGCATTGCATTCCATTATGAATAATTTCTTTTTCTCCAAGCCTTACTTGATAAGAACAATTAAAATGTAAGACCAGAACATTTCTGTATTCCAAACTTCAGTCTAAACCAAATCTAAGCTTATATATTTGCAGATTATAATGGGACCCCTGTCCCTATCTTTTTCCTAATAAGGAACATCTGATGGCAGCTTTTTTGTTGTCTTGATCAGTTTGGTATCAGGCTCTCCTCTAGTTGATACAACTTTTTATCTTCTTTTATTACCTTCTGGCACAAGAACCCACCCTTGCCCCATGCCCTCTGCATTGGTGAGTTAGTATCCCTTGGCAGGTTTAGTATTCTGATCTTCCACACACTTACTTGGATTATGCCTAACAACTCTTTTCAGCAGTACAAACATTGCACAATCCAACTTAGGTTTACTGGTCACATTGTTCTTTACTAAAACCAACTACCCTCTTCAACAGCCATTTGCAGTCTACATCTATTTTAGTTGCCATCCATTAAAAAAAAAAAATCTCCCATTCCAGATTTCTTTTTTAGTCTTCTCTGATGCGTTTAAGACTTCTCCCAGCTCAACCCTGTAACCCCTCCTAGCTCCTGTGTGAAGCTTTTTGTATGAGAATCTAAACAAATGACTACTTTCCTTATCAGTAAAGGTAATACAAATCAGTACAAAACATTTTGGTTGAAATGTTTGAAAGTTACTTTTTAGGTCAGGGATTCTCAGATCTTACAATAAAAATCCATTAATTAAAAAAACCTTTTACGTGTCTTTGCATACACAATTCAGACAATTCGTTATCATAAATCAGCTACTAGAATGAGCACAGATTTCAGAGAAGTACTAATTTGTGAATTATCCAGGGATAGTTTAGGCTGTATAGTGTCAGTGTCCCAGAAATACTTGGTAAAATGTTTTAACCCTTAAAATATTTCAAGGATGGGCATTTGGGAAACACAGGATAACACAACTGGAAGTATCCTAGATGGCTGATATCTAGATCAGCTTTCTCCAAGGGGTCCCTGTTATATCCACCTGCCCCACTTGGTCCAGCAAAAGAGGCATGTTGCAGACCCCACCAGTCAAGGAATTTTGGCTGGCGGGGTCTAGGAAGAGGGCCTTTTTTGCTGTAGCCCCCACCCTGTGGAACAGCTTACCACCTGAGGTGTGGGCTGCCCCCACTCCCCTGGACTTCCGAAAAAGTGTGAAAATGTGGCTATGCCAGATGTCCTGGGAACCTGATGGAGGCTTGCATTGTTGGAATTGACTGGTGGGATGATCAATACTGCTCCCCCCCATCATCTTGAATTGTATATAGGCTTTTATATAGAATTGTTACTAG